TTGGTTCACGAGGAGGGGAGATCCAGCGGCGATAGGGATAGCGAAAGAATACACAGACAAACAGAAGAAGGGAGACAATGAGGCACCCCAAAGCCAGGGTGGATACATCACTGGTGGGCAGGCTTGGGACTACAGGCATCATGGCCTCTGCAGGCAGCGACTCACTGCCCTGCAATCTTTAATGGATGCCTTCCAACCCGTAACGCACCGCAATCTTTACTCCATGCCTTCCAACCAGTAATGCACTGATCTTTACTCCATGCCTGCCAACCAGTAATGCACACCTGGGGAGGCCCGGGCCTCTGCTTTATTTAGGGGAGGAGTTTCACACCAAGCTGGGAGGGACTAACACAGGATACAGCTAACATCAGTAATTTTCCAGACATTCAGGTAACTTTACATTGTACTTCACTGGTTCGAATCTCAGGCCAGCAACTTGAATTCTCAGACCCAATTAACATATCTATAGCCCCTGAGGTCAGTTGGGGGAAGTTGAGAGTTCTGCAGGAGACGCCCAGGTGAATGGGCTGCACCTGGAAAAGGGATTAGGGAGGATGGGTTCTTTGTCTATAGAACAAAGAACCAAGAAGTAGCTAAGATATTTTTAGTTAATCCTTTGGAGAAAGGTTTAACCTTGCAACCTTTAGGAAAATATCACATTTATCTGTGGATTTTCAAAGGCTCCAGTGTATTAATTTAATATATATACCTGAATATTAATGTGAAAGCAATTTGCCATTAACTGCCACTGGCCTCATTTGTTACACTCGGCCCTAGAGGGCCTCGAACCTCTGACTAGTCTTACACGGTCTGCAACATACAAGGGGGCTCCAAAGCGTTCATAGAAAAAGTCCATTATTTGTTAATACCAAATTTCCGTGAACATTTTGAAGCCCCCTTGTACTGGTTATCTAATCATCGATGTTTGTCATGGATTGAATTGTGCCCCCCCCCCCCAAAATAATGTCAGCTTGGTTGGACCAGGATTCTCAGTGGTTTGGCAGTTATGTGACGATTCACCATGATATTATACACCAAACAAAGGATTATGGATAGATGGTGGTTGGTTGGTGTCAGTTTCAACTCACAGTGACTCTGTGTAGGCTATAAATCTTTATGAGAGCAGAAAGCCTCATCTTTTTCCTGTGGAGCAGCTGGTAGATTTGAACAGCTGACCTTACAGTTCAACTAGTAACTCACTAAACTACCAGGGCTCCCTTCATCCCACCACCACCCTGATCAATGTATGGGAGGTTCCGAAAGATGTAACATGAAACATCTTTTATCTTACAATGGATAAAAGGCAAGAAACATGAGCAGAGAAAGAGGCGCCTACTACCACCAAGACAGATGAGACAGGCCTAGAGTACATTCTTTGGACTTTGGAATCTCCTACATCTAGGGAATGGTGGATGTGGACACATGGAGCTCTCCAAGGAATGCGGGGTCTATCAATGCTGAAAGGAGACAAGATCTTTCCCCAAAGCCAGTACTCTGAATTTGGACTACATGCCTCTTAAACTGTGTGAAAATAAATTTCTGTTTGTTGAAGTTATCCACTTGTGGTATTTCTGTTATAGCAGGACTAGATAACTAAAGCCATGCTTCTCCTCAGATTTTCTAAAAAAAAATCTGGGGTAAGGAGCTCTCTCCACAACTGGGTAGGCACAGAGACAACAGAAAAGCATTACCTAAAGCAATTGTTCTTCAAAAAATGAGCATAGTTAGAACTTTAAAAAAACGCGTAACAAATACAGATTCTTGATCTACCTAGAATCAATTTCGCATTTAAACAGTCGCCTCCTGAAAGATTTAGGAGAATCAAGTGGGTATTTTAACAATGAGTTATGTATCTAACAATCTCCCTAACAGATTCCCAGCATCTCTTCTGAACTTAGATTTTTCCTTTTACAATTAAGAATTATATAAATTCGCTATTTACTCTAAAAACATGTATTTGTATTTGCATCCTGTAAAATGAAATACTTTTGTTCTACCTTCCCCTAAAGGAGTCCTGGTGTGGCACTATGGGTTAATGCGCCAGCCTGCAAAGTCATTTGAACTGCAAGGTCGGCAGTTCAAGTGTTCCTCAGAAACCCTATACGGGGTCACTATGAGTCGGAACTGACTTGATGGCACTTCTCAACAACAACCACCTTCCCCAAATGTCAGAAGAAACCTGGCAGATACTACCTTACCAACGTGACCACAGCTAACATTACCAGTTTAAGTAAGTCATGCTGATACCACGTATTCCTTGATAGGATGTGCTAAGAAGGGCAAACCATCCCTGCAGTATATGCAGTATTCACCACAACAACCTAATTAGGAGAAGCCATCAAACATCTCCAATTGAGGGACACTCACAAAATAACTAGTCTTTTTCCCAACTGTCTAGGTCCTGAAAAACAAGGAAAAACTGTGGCACTGTCAGACTGCAGGACACGACGGAGACATGACCACCAAATGCAATGTGGCATCTTGGCTTGGACCCCGGAAGAAAATAAGGATGTTAAGATGGAAAAACTGGCAAATTGTGAAAAAAAATTCTGTAGTTTAGTTAATACTAAACTAGTAATGTTAATTTCCTTGTTTTGATAATTGCACCAGAGATTTGTAAAATGGTGACATTATGAAGCTGGGTGTAGGATGCAGGCAAACTCTTGTACTATCATTTAGACTTTTCTTAGTCTAAAATTATTTCAAAATAGTCAAAACAAAAAGTTAAATTCCTGATACCAAGCCTCCTAGCTAGATCAACACATTCTTGATATACACAGTTATTGTTTTAATCACCTGTCTCTCCTACGACCTATTCCCAATTTACTCTGAGTTCCCATTCTTTCCTCCTCTTTCCTTAAAAAGTGTCTAGTTTTTATACTTTCAGAGTTTTCAAAGTACCCTTTTTTCTTCCCAACACAGAGCTAAACTTAAAAGATGTCATATAACAAACTTAATTTCTTACAGTTCCTTTGTAAGTAACAATTTACAAACTGCTTTTAAATACATTTGCAAACAAATTTGAAGTGCACACTGTAAATATTATTTTAGAGATAAAAAAATTAAAATATTAAGTGATTTAACACTGAATAAAATGCCAGTCTGGATTTGAATGCTGTTCTCTTGTGAGACCATATTAAAACATAGAGGTCCAAATTTAATAAAAATTCAACTCTTCCAGCTCCAGATTGACTAATAACATCTGATATACTATGCCTTCACCAAAGTTCTACATTTCATCATTGTCCAAAATGTCCTTCTTTCAAGCTTTAATTATTCTACCATCAAGAACACTAGGAAGGTACACACACACCTTAGAATAATCAACCATTTGAGAACAAAAAGGCAGCATTGTTTACCCAAGGACAAAGTTCAGAAGTGTTAGGAAAGGAGGAGGAATGGAAACAGAAAACACAGGAAGTGGGATTACAATCAATGACAAATTGAAATGTGCATGGATCATGGATCGCTGAGTGGGAAATACTGAAATGTTCTGCAAATCTTCATCCAATTCACAACAAAAACAAAAAAGAATTCTAGAATTCAGTGAAAGTATTACTTCAAAAAAAAAGACTTTAGTCATCTCTTCTTAAACCATCAACTTTTTAAGATGAAAAACTGTTTACCTCTATTTTCATACAAAGACTCCTGGTGTGGCACTGTAGGATCAACACTGGACTGCAAACAACAAGGTCAGCTCCTTGGGAAACCTATGCATGGTGGCTATGAGATGGAACCTACTCGAAGGCACTTAACAAAAACAACAACATTTTCATACAAAAGCTGTTTTATGCTTTCAAATACCCAAGAAAGCACTCTATTCTCCAATTCTATTAGTTTGAGGGAGTCCTGGTGTGGTGCAGGGTCAGTGGCTCAAATACCTCAAAACTGACTTGAAGGCACTTAAAAACAATTAATTTTATATTTGCCAATCGCTACTACAGGCGATCTTGCTAAACTCCCAGGCCCATGAAATGTTCTCAATTGTTCTCAGTATCCTTTTCCTTCAATCATTAAAAAAAAAAAAAAATTTAAGGTTAAATCCTTAGTGCGTGTGTCTAAGATTAAATGTAATAGTGTAGGGCGACATAACAAGAAAACATGACTTGAGAATCTGAAGCAACCGACTTTCGTCTGACAATTCTGACCATCATTTTTCTCCTTTGCCGCATGTAGGTTTCCAATCTTTTAAAGAGTCTCTGCTTTCTGATCAGTGTAGCTAAAGCACTGGACTGCAAGGTCAGTTTGAACCACAAATAGGCGGTTCACAGACTCGACAGCACTTAGCAATAAAGAAAAAATGACTAAAACCCAACAAACAGCGCTGAGATAAATGATAAAGGATTATAGAAATAAGCCTCTAATTCTGAAAACTGAGTAACGAGTCACTAATATTACATCAAGGAGTTAATGGTCAATGTGAGTTCACTGACCATTCTACAGTGACTTTATTCCATTTTGTAACCTCTCGCTGTGGGTTAATGCGCTAGACTGCAAAGCCGTTTGAACTGCAAGGTCGGTGCTTCAAGCTCACCAGCTGCTCCTAGGAAACCCTATACATCAGAGTCGCTGTGGGTCTGAATCGACTCGACGGCACTTAACAACATCCCATTCTCAGGAACTCAAAAAGTTGCCTGAATTGGAGACGCTGACCTAACGGGATCTGCTTCAGTGAGGAACCCGTGAAAGAGATGGGGGATCGAGAAGTAACTTTAGGAAATGTTTAAACCGCTTTTTGGATAGGTAGCCTGGAGTCGGTTCCGACTCATAGAGACCTTCCCTATGTACCATGGAACAAACACTGCCCGATTCTGCGCCATCCTCAGTTAAGTTTGAGCCTTTCACACTGTTTAATTTGCAGGGATGGGCTGCCGCTCTGTTTGCTCCGGCGTGGAACCCTGGGAGATGAACCCGAAGAGAGGATCAGTAATAGGAACAAACCGGGGCGCCAATGGAGAACCCCAAAGGTCTGGGAAGAAAAAAAGGGGGGCATCACTTGCCTCCCACTCCTGCAGGAATCGGTGGGCCTCGTCAGAACCAACGGTCTTATGTCTCTTAAATTCGTCTTTCACGTACTGGTCCCCCAGGGATTTGAGATCGGGGGGCAGTGCCCGGTGTAACAGCAAGATGCGCCGATACAGGGTCCGCACGCGCAGGACGTGCTGACCCGGCATCGTGCGCTCGAGATCGCCGGCTGCGCCTGCGCAAATGCCCGCGCGCGCTTCTCCGGGGTGCTGCCCCTTTCGCTGAGAAGCCTGGTATTGGTGAACTGGAAAACTAGCGGAAAAGGGCGCGCGACCTTCATCCGGTTTTGCCCTAGCTAAAAAGAGCTTCTTCCGGGAACTTGACTGTAGCCGCGGCAGAGTCGCGCCTGCGCTCTCCTCTTGACTTTTCCTACGCTGTGTAGGTGGCAAGCGATTGCAAATTTGGTGTGTGCAAATTGTTGTCATCCCTTGTCAACCCATTATCCTTCCCATTTATCTCCGTCCCTTTCTTCCAGATAAAAGCTTTATCTTCCAGATAAAAATCAGCTCCTCCAGGAAGCCTTTCAGGTTGTTACTTGGAGTCCTGGTATAGCGCTGTAGGACAAGTCCAGGACTGCTAAAGGCAAGGTCAGCAGTTCAAACCCTCAGTCGCTCCTCTGAAATCCTATACGAGGTCGCTATGAGTCGGAACCGACTGAAGGACATTTAACAACAGTGGCCAGTAGTGTCCATTTGTAAATTTCTTAAAACCTTTCAGAAGCAGATTGTTGTTGTTAAGTGCCTTTGAGTCATTTCCGATCCATAGCCACCCTGTACAGGATTTCCAAGGATTGCTGGTGAGCTTGAACCGCTGATATTGTGGTTCAAATCGACTGTGTAGTTCAGCGAATTAACCCACAGCGAAGCAGATTGCCAGATTTTGGATTACGAGAAGCATCTGCGTGGGTTTGACCAGCCAACCTCTTGGTTTGTAGTCAAGCACTTAAATGCTTACACTCATTAAGAGTATCAAGTACTTACTATACCTGCTGGTGATGAAGAGGGAAATATATGTGCACTTGTCTAATTCCTTCACAGACCCCAGGATTTTTCTCTGTACAAAACTTTTTTGAAAGTTAAAGATGATACACTCCTAGCTACCAAAGGCAGGGAACTGATTTGTTTTTATATCCTTAGCGGGGCCCACCACAGAGCCTTGCAAATAGTAAGCACTCCAATATTTGTTAACTTAAATGGAGTTTTTCCTTTTGCATAAATTTAAGGGAAATATTTGCTTAAAAGAACACAGACCATTTGTTTTAAAATGGATTCAGTTTGGTATTGTGAAAAACCACATTAATGGCAAGGATTGAATGGCAGTGTGGTTATTTTATTTCAGGAAGTTTTTCTAACCATACTTCATCTGTTAATATCCCTGTAAATTGAAAATTAATTTCTTGTTCCAATTTAATTTTTTTTCTGGTTTCCTTTGAGGTTAAAGTACATGTATAATAAATTCTTTCAGAGCCAACATGGTTATTAAAAAAAAAAAGAAGGGGAAACATTATGCCAATGAATTAATAAAAAATAATAATAATAAAATTAATTCATCCTAAAAAGAGTAGAATATGTCCACAGAACATTGGACAGTAGTCAGAAATGGTAGGTGATGGGTGAGAGAGAAACCAAGAAATAGTAGTGCGGTTAGGGCTTGAGGGGAGGACTCAGGCAATAAGAATAAGAATAATTAATAAATGACCCTTATTTTTTTGCAATGGGCTGGACAGTAAGCTATGTCTTGAAGACAAAACTTTCTCTGTTCCTATTCTTACAAATTAGGCTGACCGATATTCTTCTTGTAGACAAAATAGCCAAGAACTGCAAACAAAACTAAATTATATTCCCGATCACTAATCCAGATCTGTATGCTTTATGCCCGCCTTTCCTTAATTTTCTATGTATTTCTTTGTCCTGTGTGTTTGTTATTCAGCAAGTCATGCATCCACTCTGTGTCTGAATTTTCCCATGTGTCAAATGAACAAGGTTAGATGATTCTCTGTACCTTCTAACTCTGACAGTCTAGACATGATTTCTCCCATGTCTAAATTTCCTCTAAAATTTTTTTGTAAAAGTGTGTTTTTTGTTGTTGTTATGGTTGTTGAGTACCATCGAGTAGGTTCCAACCCATAGTGACCCTGTATAGGGTTTCTGAGGAGTGTCTGGTGAGCTTGAACCACCAACTTGAGGGTCAAACCAACTTTGAAGTCCAGCGCATTAACCCAGAGCACTATGTTATTATTGTTGTTATGTGTCATGGAGTCAATTCCGACCCATAATGACCCTGAACAGGGTTTCCGGGGCTGTAAATCTTTACGGGAGCAGAAAGCCTCATCTTTCTCCCGCGGAGCAGCTGGTAGTTTTGAACTGCTGACCTTGCGGTTCGCAGCCCAATTCGTAACCACTACGCTACCAGAGCTCCTTAGAGGAAATATATTCACTCTGAAATAATTTCTTTGTAAACATTTTTATTTAAGAAACAAAGCATAAAATATACAAGTATATTTGCATATTGTTGTTGTTGCTAAGTGTCGTCGAGTAGGTTCCTACTCATAGTCACCCTATATAGGGTTTTCAAGGAATGGCTAGTGGCTTGAACTGCCGACTTTGTGGTTACTGGTCCAGTGCTTATCTAACAACACCACACCACAACTCCATATTTGTATATATAAATATATCCAAGAACACAAAATGTAAGGGGAACAGTGTACTCCTAGTGACAATCAATACAACACTTGCGTACTTGGTGTGGTTATGTGCCTTCCTGTACAGAGAGAAGGGAAAATAGCTAAATAAGTTTTTTTCACAAGCAGAGAACTTTTTTAAAATCTCTGATTCTACAGAAGATGATATTGAGACAAGAGAAGTTAAGTGACTGTCTGAGTTGGGTGTTTGGGTTGTGGGGAGCCTTAAAAGACTTACAAACAGGTCACCATTTATAGTGATCTCGGAATGAATGAGAAGCCCAAGGAACTGGAAATAAGAGGAGTGACTGGAAGTTTTAAGCAGAGAGGACATGAGAAGAGCAGAGCTTTTAAAAGGAATAATCTGGCAGCCACATGCAAGGCAGTCTATCTAAAAACTTAATAAAGAAGACACACGAGGGTGAGTCAAAGAGTATTGCTACTAGGGATCCAATTCATACATGCATGGCTTTATTTAAAACAAAACACATTTAAACATGTCTCTGTGATGAGCAGATGGCTGCATACAAGTTGTCTCAGTGAATACAAGCGTAAGTAAAAAAGTATTGCTTTTTGTTCATATGTGGGTCACTCAAAAAATATTGTTACAATTTAGGAGCAGCTTTTATTGTAAGTTCATGTCCTTTACAAATTGCTAACACAATGGCAGTGTTAGATGAAGATACTATCTATAAGGTAGATACTATACTGTTTGATGCTCAAAGCATTTCATTTCATTTTGTGTCAAGTAGAAAATACATAATTGTATATTTTTAAAGAGACTTGGGTTAAAACTAGCTTCACTTTTTCTTTTTCTTTTTTTTAAGGTAGGAATGTACATGATTCAGGTTTAAAGATCGATTTTGACTTTTAAAAAATGACATTCTGTCAATCGATTTCTCTTGCTGTAAGTTGGATGATACCATGATTCTCTAAAGACTCACTGTTGACTTAGTACAGGTATCCTGTTTGTAGAGCTAAAAAATAGAGCATGGAAATCTAAGTTTTGAGAATTAACAAGAAGGTAATGTTTTCTATTGTGCAATATCAAAAGGGAAGCGGCCACCTTGAGGAAAGTATGCTCACTGCTCCTAGGGACACATTTGTATATTTAAATAAAGACATTTGTTTACACACACACACACACACACACACACACACACACGCAAATATATACATTGTTACAAAATCATAGAAATCTTTCTTAGATGAAAATCTCACAATGTGAAGCTATTGTTTCTCATCATATCCCCCATCTCAGTCTTCACACTTCTGAAGGTGGTGTTTTCATCTCTCTAACACTGCCTGGGGTGGCTCTATGTGATAAAGCACTGGACCGCAAAATCGTTTTGAACCACAAGGTTGGCAGTTCAGACTCACCAGCCGCTCCTTGGAAACCCTATATTGATTCTCTATGAGTAGGAACGGACTTGATGGCATTTAATAACAACAACAACACAACTCTGAAGAATTCTGCCCTCTTCAGTTTATACCACATCAAAATGGAAATTTTGGCTTCCTCAAGGGATTCAAATCATGTTCCTTTTAAATATTCTTTGTGTTTGGGGAACAAAAAGAAGTCTGAAGGGAAGAGATCAGGGCTGTAGGGTGGCTGAGTTTTAAGGCTTCCCAATGAAATTCTGATAGGACAGCTCTTGCTTCCCTCAAAGAATGAGCAGGTGCATTGTCGTATTACGAAAAAAAGGAATTGTTGGTGCAATTTTCCTAGACTTTTTCTCGCCAATGCAGTTTTCTGCTTTCTTAATATTTCTTCCTGGTAACCCCCCAAGATCATCCTGCATCCTTCAAGAAAATCTATTAAGATTACCCCTGTGGAATCTCCCAAGACACAGTGGCCATAACCCTCTGCACTGAGCTCTCTGCACTGAATGTAGCTGCCCAGCAGATGCCCTCAGAAGTCACTGTTTTGATTGGACCTTTTATCAAAGGCACCCTAAGGAGACTAAGGCAAAAGTGTGTATATTCACTCAAACAACAGAAAGATCATACACACCCACACCAACAGCATGCCACTCACTTTAGAACATAATTAATTCTTTGTTTTTGAAAAGAAGACAGAAAGAGAGACTGTTAACAGGGAGATGACAAAGATGACATGGAGGTAGGCTGCAGCTCTAGGAGGGAGAACAGATAAGAGACACTTAATAGCCATGAATTTAACAATTCATGGGATAGGCAGCCAACAAGCATATGAAGAAATGTGCATGATCATTAGCCCTTAGAGAAATGCAAATCAAAACAACCATGAGATATCATCTCATACCAGCATTAACATTAAGTGCCATCGAGTCAGTTCCAACCCATTGAGACCCTGTATAGGGTTTCCAAGGAGCAAGTGATGAGCTTAAACCACTGACCTTGTGGGACCAAGTCATTAAAACGCCTTAGACACTCCCTTTGTTGATTCTAATGTGCCACCAGGATTGAGAAGCATTTGTCTAAATATTT